CATGGAGCCCGATGAGGGGCTTGATCCCACGCCCCGAGATTATGACCTGAGCCAAAACCAAGAGTCGGATGCTTAGCTGACTGAGCCACTCAGGCACCCCTATCTCAATAATTTTTTATATTGATTACATGTGAAATCATATTATTTTTGTTATATTGGGATAAATATATAATTAAAATTAATTTCACCTATTTATTTTTTAATGTAGCTACCAAAAATTTTTAATTACTTTTTTTAACTGTCAAAGTATTCATTTTATTTTTGTTTTAAGATTTTATTTATTCACTTGACAGAGAGAGAGTGAGAGAGCACAAGCGGGGGGGCAGCAGAGGGAAAGAGAGAAGCAGGCTCTCCGCTGAGCTAGGAGCCTGACCCCAGGATCATGACCCGAGCCAAAGGCAGATGCTTAACCAACTGAGCCACTCAGGCACCCCTTTAATTACTTCTTTAGCTAACATTATATTTCCACTGGATACCTCTGCTCTAGACCCTGGGATTTTTCAGAACAGGTGGGGAGCATTAGTCCTAAGGTCAGACTTTGCCCTTTCCTGGACTTTCTCTGCTTAGACGATGTAACTGTCGCCCTTATGGAGGCCAGGTACATCCACTATCCCATTCAGAATGGAGTCCTTAAAAGGGTGGAGGAGTTAAAGAACAATTTTAAATGTAGATCACTGAGCAAATGCATGTTTCAGAGAGTCAAAGACAATAGGTGATTATCCAAGGCAACATCTAACATTCACCTTAACGTTCCTGATTGGCTCTCCTATTTTACTTAGATTATTTCTTTTAATTGACACAACAACATTAGGTGCTATTGTTGCATACATATTTTACTAATGAGTAATTGGAAGTTAGGGAGTTAGCAGGCAGTGGTGTGGAGTTTTGATCCCAGTTGGTCCAACTATCCAATTGAAATATCTAGCAAGATTATGTGCTCCTTTTATATCCTATGCCTTATCTATACATGACCTGACACACTAGATAGTGAGTATGTGTAGTAAAATGTATAACTTCAACCGTGTAGGAGATATATAGATATAGATATAGATATATATGGAAAAGTCTGGAAAGAAAAACATCAGAATGTTAAAAGATGGTTGATTATGAATGGTGACATTATGGACATTTTTACATTTTTAAAATAATGTACATTTACATGTTTTTCATCTTTATACTTTACTGCATCTTCCAAACAAGATACTTTTCTGTATCTTTTTTGACGATGTGTGTATACTGTTTTATTTCCGTTACTTTTAAAATTGCACAAAATAGTATTTTAAGAGAAGGTAGGTGGTTACTGACATGTTGTCTGTGTGCTGATATTGATCTTTTCTCTTCTCCCCGTGGTGTTTCCATTCCTCTTGCATTTGGTGTCCTTTTCCTCCACTTGCTTCTCCATTCTCTCTCTCTCTCTCTCTCTGTCTCTCTCTCAATTTCTCTCTTCTGCTTTCTCACCCCTTTCTTTCTGTCTTGCTTCTTTCAGGATCCTCTCTGAGATGTTTTCCCCTGGGTCTTCTTCCCTTATTTCCTCTCTCTCTCTTCTTTTGGAGAAGACTGATATTCAAATGAAGGGTCAATCAAATGTTACTTTGCACCTGGTAGGTTTCTGGGAGGTTATACCTGCCTCTGGAGTTGGGAGGAAGGTGCTCAAGTTGGGGACTGAGCAATGGAGGGCAAGACTTCTAAAGAGGACGGCTATGATTTAGATAAAAGGTGGGGGAGGACATTTCAGAGTGACAGAAGCAGTGGAGACAAAGGTCTGAGGATTCTACCAGGGAAAAAGAGATGAGAGGGGGTTCTTACCTTATGGGGTCTGGGGATTGCTGTCTCCTGGTGCTGGCACTCAGTTAGAAAGGATATGGACTTCAACTGATTTTAGCTCCTGGATTAAATTAGTCTTGGTTGTATAATTGACTTTGATATGTGGCCTTTGGATCTGAATTGGGCTTAATAAGATTTAACTGCTTCAAAGGGCTTTATAAGAATTCATTTTATACTTCAAATCTGATTTCAAATGCTACCTACTTTAAAACGCCTTCTCTGACTTTGGTGTTCCTCCTCCAGAGCTCCTATTGTGCCATAGTTGATACATACCTTATTCAAGCAATTACCTCCTTTGTATTTTATCTTATTCTGTGGGAAATGTTTCCTTTATTGCCTCTCTTCAGGAATCTTGAGGGACAGACAGGTATCTTATTCATATTTGTATCCCAGGCCTAGCAAAGACCAGGAAAACACTCAGTTGAGCACGAAAGTGCTCAATAATGATTTTTAAAAGTATTTTATTTTATTTATTTTATTTTTATTTTTTTTAAAGATTTTATTTATTTATTTGAGACAGAGAGAATGAGAGAGAGAGAGCACATGAGAAGGGGGAGGGTCAGAGGGAGAAGCAGACTCCCCGCTGAGCAGGAAGCCCGATGCGGGACTCAATCCAGGGACTCCAGGATAATGACCTGAGCTGAAGGCAGTTGCTTAACCAACTGAACCACCCAGGCGCCTTTATTTTATTTTTTTAAAAAAGATTTTATTTATTTATTTGGCAAAGAGAGACACAGTAAGAGAGGAAACACAAGCAGGGGGAGTGGGAGAGGGAGAAGCAGGCTTCCTGCGGAGCAGGGAGCCGGATGCAGGGCTCGATCCCAGGACCCTGAGATCATGACCTGAGCCGAAGGCAGACGCTTAACGACTGAGCCCCCCAGGCGCCCCTTTAAAAGTATTTTAATAGCTAACATTTAGTAAGCACTGTGGCAAGCCCTATACCTACACTGTTTCATTCACCGGACACTTTAGGAGAAAAGTACTTTTATTATCCTCATTTTACAATAAGAAAACTTAGAGTAAGAGAAATTAATTTCATTTTGGACTAAATTTTACTTTGAAACGAATGAAACAGTGGCAGAACTTTTTCTATAGGCTTTGGCTTCAAGATTTGGGCTCTTAATCATCATAGATTAACAAATGTGTGGATGAGGAATGCTTTTCATTCCAAGGCTGAAGAAGTGACCTGGGGGTGCCTGGGTGGCTCAGATGGTTAAGTGTCTGCCTTCAGCTCAGGTCATGATCCCAGGGTCCTGGAATCGAGTCCCGCATTGGGCTCCCTCCTCAGTGGGGAACCTGCTTCTCCCTCTCCCGTTCCCCCTGCTCATGCTTTCTCTCTCTGTCAAATAAATAAAATCTAAGGAAAAAAAAACCTTATAAAAAATAAAATAAATAAAATCTTTAAAAAGAAGTGACCTGGAACAGTCCATCATTTATATTACAAAGGCAACTCTGATGTCAAATTATGGTAAATCCTAACTCACTAATGTTTCTAACTTTTAAATCACCTTTACTTCTCCCTCCCTCCCTTCTTCCCTTCCTTCCTTCCTTCTTCCTTCCTTCCCCATGGTCTCTCTCTCCAGAACTCTCAGGGAAAATGTTTGAACTCATATACTGAAGTGTAACCTAGTAAAGAACTGAGTGTTTTATAGGAAAGGGAAGTAACATTTTATTTGGTTCCCACTTCTGACCATTCATTCATTTGCAAATTTACAAATACCAAGCACCTACTGTGTGCTAGGAACCTTTTTTTTAAGCACTAAGTGGTAAGCAAAACAAAGTTCTGGTTCTCACGGAGATTACAGTAGTGGCACTTTACATACACTGACTGGTTCAATTCCTCACAATAATCTTATGAGGTAACGATGACAACAATAACAGATATCTCTTAGCAATGTATATCTGTGCCAGGCACTGGGCTATGTGCTTTATTCGTATTAACTCAGTTATCACAATACCCCTATGAGAGAGGGGGTATGTTTTCCCCATTTTACAAATGAGGAAAACTGAGACACAACTGACTGACTCAAGGTTTGAAGCCAAGCAAGTGTGGCTGTAACTCCTAGGCTATTAGCCATAAGGCTATATTGTTTCTCATACATTTCTTTCTTCATCTCACAACTTTTAAGTGTTCAAGTTCTATCTCAGATCGTCTGACTCCCAAGCTCAGGGGACTGCGAGTGAAAATGCCTTGGGAATTTTTGCAACACTTTCTCTTCCGACGAAATCAAACTAATTTCCACTTAATTCTCAGATTTGTGGTGTGAACCCTCTTGCACCGTAAATTCCCCGGCAAGGAGAAAGATAGGGCCTGGGCCGGGGTCATCTTACACTGGCTGGGGTACCCAGCAGATGGCGCTATCTTAGTAGCCGCCAGCTGGCTGTCCGGTCCCCAGGGCTCACCGCCTCCGCCGAAAGCTTCCCGGCCCTCTCTCACTCCCTTCTCTCTCCTCCCCACGGAGCCCGGGCCCACGTGACCTCAAGGCGGCCAATGGGCGAGCAGAGAGGGCGAGCTGGTCCCTGTGGCCGCCATTAAAGCGAAGGGAAAACCCGTGAATTCGGATTAAAGGGGGAAAAACACCGCCCGCTGGGCCCACAAAATGGGGGAGACTACGGCGTCCGGGCGGTGAGGCCGCAGTAGAGCAGACGTTAGGCCGGCTTGGCCCAGGGACGACACGAAGACACAGCCAGAGAATGGTCTGAGCCCGCAGACGCCGCCACCACCTCCGCCACTGAGGAGATTCTGGGCTTAAGGACATCGCCGCTGCCGGGCCGGGGGCCTGGGCTTCCCTCCCGGTTCTTGCCCTTCTTTCCCCTCTACGGGCGCCTTCCCGCCCGGGAGAACCCTCCAGGGCTTGGGCTCTGCCCTCTCGGACTCCATTTTAATTATTTATTGTGTTAATTTATTATTTTTTCTTGTGGAAGGGGCACATATCCCCTCTGTCCCCCAGAGAGGGACGAGCGTCCGCGGGCTCCGCGGCGGCCGCAGTCCGGCCCGCGGGGCAAGCGCGGCGCGGCCCTCCCGCCGGCCCTGGGCCCCGGGCGGCTAGGTGCCGGCCGGGCGGCGGGGGCTGCTCGCGGCGGCGGGGGGGGGGGGTGGGGAGGGCGGGCGGCCCGGCGGCCTCCTCTTCCACCGCTCCCCCAACCACCACCCCCCCGCCCTCCCCGGTGTCTGTGTTTCTCTCTCTGGTCGGAGGCGGCGGTAATGGCGGATGGTGGGTTGTGGCGCCGGCGGCGGCTGCTGTGAGGGACGATGAGTTCCTCCTTCGTGCCGAACGGGGCCAGCCTGGAAGATTGTCACTGTAACCTCTTCTGCCTGGTGAGTGCAGGGGCCGCGGGCGGGGGCCGCGGCGAGCGGGGCGGTGGGGGAGGGGGCCGCGAGGTGCGCCCTTGGGCCGTGGGGGAGGGGGTCCAGGTCTGATCCAGATGCCCGAGTCCCCAGGCTAGGCCCAGCCGGAGCCGACGCGGCGGCGGAGCTCCGCACCAACCCCGGGAAACACGTTCGCTCACCCACCATCCTAGGCTCTGGTTTAGGAGTGCTGGCTTTTTTTTTCTTGTTTCCGACTCTTCCTCACCGTAGTCTTGTCTTCAACTTGTGCTCCTGATCTGGCAGGACACTCACATTTCCTTCTGTGTTTCTTGCTTTAACTACTGCTTTTCTCCTTATTGACCCTGTATCCCTTAACACTTTTCATTATTGCCATTCTCCCAGTGTCTTTATTCCTCACTCTGTTAATTTGGTTTCCCCAATAAACAGGACACCGGAACTTAGGTACTAAAAATCTCTCTTCCTTTTACATTTTCTAATGAGTCAAGCTAACAGAAGATTAGTTTCTCCCTTCGATGAGTTCAGATCTCGCTGTAAAAACCAGTAGATGCCATTTCGTATGTTTTCTCTTTAAACTTTGAAAACAGTTTGCCATTTTGACAGTTTCTAGCCATCTTGCTTTTATTAGAACATGTTTGTGTGAGAGTGAAACGGACTAATGGAGGAGGTTCTATGGTTTTGCACTAATTTTTTTTTCCCGTATTTGTTTTGCTTGCATTTTTAGAATGCTTTGAGCAGGCTGCTCCTCGTTTTATTGAAAAGTCTAGGGAAGCTGGATGCAGGAATGACAATTGTATAGGTTGGCCCAGTTCTGGGAACATCCACAGTTAAGACTTTGAAAACTACCAACTGTTGCAAATATTTAGGTCCTCAATTGGACAGTAGCTTAGCTTCATCCATGATTTAAAGTTTCAGTGACTTTTCATTTTTTGTGTGCTAGGAGAAATATTAAGAGAGTATGTGATAGGTAAGTGAACTGAGTGGGCGGAGCACAACTAGTTGGCAAGTGTAAACTGCCAGTCATGTATCAGCAGTTTCATTTTTGGCACCTTTTGCTTTGCACCTCTAAGTTAAAGAATTACTGAATTCCCTCTGTTGAATTTCTTTCACTGTGCCAAATTGGAATTTTTAATGCCCTTCTCTCTTACAAAATGTTTTCTTGTACAATGTCCATTAATCAGCATCTCTTCAGATGCAGTAAAACATAACAGCAGGTTTTACATTTCTGTCTTCTCTGACTCTATTTTTGGTACTTTTAGGATCAAGTTCTTTGGGAATAGACTAGTACAAATCTGACAGTTCTTTGTGAGCACCTATTTCACTTCTCCTAAAAGGGATATGTGAAGAACTAACAATTTTTTCAGTATAGTTCACGTTTTATCAGAGCCATCGCTTCTATAAACATGAAATGATGAGTCTTTAAAAATTAATTTTCTGTTACAAGTGTGACACCAGGGAGTAAACGTGACCAGTTGGAACAGAACTTAGAGGAAATGTTTACTACGTGTGCAGTATTAAAGTACATTATATTTAACATTGTTAAGTTTCTTTTATTTTTCTTTGGGACACATATTTACTGCTATTCAGTGACATGTCAGTGTTAATATTTTAGCTGTTTTTGTTCCTTTAAATTTTTGGTTGAACAAAGAATTTTTTTGGTCAATCTGCTTTAACATCTTAATATATATTGAAAAATTGTAATGTCTCAATGAAATAAGGGGCTTTAAGAGAGAGTACTGTTGGAGCGCCTCGGTGGCTCAGTCTTTAGGTGTCTGCCTTTGGTTCAGGTCATGATCCCAGGGTCCTGGGATCGAGCCCTGCATCCCTGCTACATGGGAAGCCTGCTTCTTCCTCTCCCACTCCCCCTGCTTGTGTTCCCTCTCTCGCTGTGTCTCTCTCTGTCAAATAAATAAATAAAATCTTTAATAAAAAAAAAAAGAGTTACTACTGACTTTGAATGAATATGCAATAATAATCATGCTTTCTTTTTTTTAGGCTGACTTGACGGGAATTAAATGGAAAAGATATGTATGGCAAGGCCCAACTTCTGCCCCTATTCTGTTTCCGGTGACAGAGGAAGACCCAATTTTGAGCAGTTTTAGTCGCTGCCTTAAGGCAGATGTACTTGGTGTTTGGCGGCGAGATCAAAGACCTGGAAGAAGAGAATTGTGGATATTTTGGTGGGGTGAAGACCCCAATTTTGCTGACCTTATTCACCATGACTTGTCAGGTGAAAGCAACTTATTTCTAACTAATGATATATAACAACATTGTATACTTTTTCTAAAAATCATTTATATTACAAATTAAGATTTTTTTTGTGTGTGTGAAACACTATTAACTGTGAAGCCAGATAAAAACTTAGCTTACTGTTATATTTCATTGTGGTTATTTTATTTTACCTAAGTTATCCATATTATGTCAGGCTTTAGCCTTGAGTAACTTTGTTCTTTCACCAGCCAGGTTCCTTGTGAATTTCATGCAGACAGGGCACAGGGAAGGCATGTTACCTAAGAAAAATGAAATGGGGGAGCGTAAAGTTCCTAACAAAGTGATTTGCAGGCACATGGAATTCACCATTTGAGTCCATTCTGCCACTGCTCTCTTCCGTATGAATATGCAGACAGTTGTAGGAGTATCTAGAAATACTATTGTAACTTTCTCATATGTTTTTTTCCAAGGTATATATTTATTTTGTTGTTAATTGTCATTATGTAAAACATATGAAAGCATATGTTAATTTTGTTATTCTTGGAGAGTGATTCTTTTGTTTTAGGTACTGTTCCTTCAAACACTCACTAAAATGAGACTAGTGCCGACTTGTTTAGCTTTTATAGGACATGGAATCATACTCTGAAAAGTTACACAAAAAATAATTTTATTATAAACCTATCAATAAGACTACTTCTATCTTAATTTCTTGACTTTTACGACCAAATGTTACTTTAGAAAGAGAAACTGTAGCTCTTCATGTAGTCACTGAAGCTTGTGGTTCCTTTAGACTCTGAAGAGTCAAAGTTAACTGAATCTTTGATGATAGGAATGTAAATGATTAGTTATTTGCTGCAAGGTACCAATGACTTCAGCAAGATGTTTGGTAATGATTCTTGACAGGTAAATTTAGGATTTTTTGATAACTAAAAAAAGCATTCTTATTTGAAATTGAATACTCTGAAGTTTCTATTATTGTCCATTTGACCTATAAGACCTATTTTATTTTTGGATGTAATGTAATCCAGGTGACCGTCTTAAACAAGCTCTTAGTAAGACTAATGTTTCTGTAGGAATGTATGTGTTACATTTGTTTTGATAGTTCCTTTTACCTTCTAATGAACAAACCCTTCACTGCTAATCTTTGAGAGTGATTACAATTCTTTTATGATAAATGCTTTCCAGCTTTGCTAGCTTTTCTAATAAAATCCCTGCTGGAGATATTAGTCCTTAGGAGTATGCACTGTAGTTCTAAATATGTAAAGTGATGTGTTTACATATGTATGTATATGTACAAGTATATGATACATATATATGTGATATATATATGTCAGGATATGAAATTACTTTATTAAGCTTGCCAGCTTCCTTTTTTCTTCCATTCACTTTGGTATGCTGGAGTTATTTTGTTCTTTTAAGTGGTCATAAAGACCACCTTAACTAAAATGTTTGGAGACTGTTTTAATGTTACTGATAAACTATAAACTATATAAACTAGTTGATAAACTATAATGCTGACTTGGGGATTTCAGTATTAATAAAGTTGGCAAAGCATTTGAACAGACCACTTTTCTTCCAGATTTCGTGTAATACATTTTGTAGAATCAAAGATAATTTTAACAGATGTGTAGTATTTAGTTTTACCATCATAGGACTAGTATTTTGAAAGCCTATTAAAATTAAATGTGAGCTGTTTTGATGTATATTAAAACACTATGTGGATTTTTCCCCCTAGATTCATGTTACAAGTTAAATATGTTTTCTCCTAAAACTGGGCTACAGTTTAAAAAATTGCTTCTGTAGTTTAACTTTGCTTTTTTGCATAATTTAAAAAAAATGGTAATACCTGTAGTTTAAAATATTGATCTTGAATGTGAATGAATATAATTTTGGAAGATTAGGTTTTAATTGTTAGATTTTGCTGAATGCCGTTGAATGATAATTAACTTTAAAACATTTATCAGAGTGAAAGCAATTGAAATAGCAAAGCAAAATATATTAGGAGTAGTATGTATAATCATAATTACCATTCCAAAGCCTGTTCTGTACTGTTTTAAACAGTGTGTGTAGTCAGTGTTATTTATGTAATGTTTTAGCTTCCCCCCCCAACTTGTCATTTACTTTAGAATGTTGTTACTTAAATCAGACATATCTTAAAGAATAATAAGGTCTTTTCAGATGGAGTATATTTGTCTCGCCCTTTTCTTTGCTCCAGGGACACCGTCTGCCTCCCTTTTGGGATAATTAGTCTGCCTCTGTCTCTCTAGCTAACCCCTTTTTCATTTCTTCCCATCTGTGGCACTCTATTCCCTTCTTTTAAGCTCCCCTGAGAAGAGAGCAGCTGGACAGTAGGGGTGGCATCAGCTGCAGGAGGCAATCCTGAGTTCCAAGTGGAGGTGTAGCACTGAGGAAAAGGGAACCGGAAGGACCCAGGTGGTAACTAAAAAGCTGGTTAATTTAGTATGAGCTTGCTTTTTGCAGGCACAGGCAGTGCCCTTCTGTTTGGTTCAGCACCTACCACATCTTATTACTGAAATGTTTGTGATTATGGTTTTATTTCCCTTCTTGATGAGGGAAAGAGGGAAGGCATTCTATTTTGCAAAGATTAGAATTCTGTTTTTCTTATTAACTGGAATATCCAGTGATAAAAGTACAGAATTGCCTTTGCTCAACCCCCTTATTTCTTTTGTGTCATCCATAGTGTATTTTAAAAAATAAACTTTTAACTTTAAAATAGTTTTAGATTTACATAGAATTTGCAAAGGTCGTATAGTGAGTTACTGTATAACCATCAACCAGCTTCTTTTATTGTTAATATCATTTATTGTATACATTTTTCACAACTAATGAACCAATATTGATATGCTGGTATTAACTAAAGCCTGTACTTTATTTGGATTTCCTTTATTTTTACCCAGAGTTCTTTTTCTATCCTATGTTCTCATCCAGGATACTACATTTAGTTGTCATGTCTCCTTAGGCTATTCCAGATTGTGATATTTTCTAAGCCTTGCCTTGTTTTGATGATCTTGATAGTTCTGAAGAGTCTGATCAGGTTCTATAGTGCATTTTAAATTTTCCCTGTCTGAATGTAATGTAGCATGTGTTTAGGTCATTTTCTTTTCAAGATACAGAAACAGAATGTAAACTTATTGCTAATTGGTAAAAATCTGTTATAGCAAACCAAACCTAATTTGATACACACTTTAAACCCTCAGTACTTGTTTTGTAGCGGTAGTAGTCAGTACTGTTTAGTGATTTGCACAGACCTAATGATTTTGGGGTTAGGATTTTCGCTAACTAGTATTGCCTAATTTTAACATTCCAGGAAGAGATTTGTTCGAAATATCCCTTGAATCCCAAAGTCAAAAACTAACTTACTTTTTTTTTTAACTTTTTGCTCGGCTTCCTCTGAGACAATGGATAGTTGAATTAATATGTATTGATAGAAGAAGGATTAGGGAATAAAACTTTTCTCTGATTACAGCTTTTTAAGTTTTATTTATATATATATTTTTTAACTTAAAATTTGTAGCAGACCTCATTTAGTGGTTGTATGATAGAGGTGTAAAATTGGTTCTGGGAAAATTTTAACTTAATTCCTCTGCTCACAAGTCTCTATATAATAAGTAGGACTGGTTCTTTTAAGTGTACTATTAGTTTGCATCAAAGCCAAGATTGTTTTATTACCATTAGTGTGTCCTTGATGGGGAAGAGTTTTCTGGGTATTTTTCTTTTGTGCCTTAACCTTTTTGGAATTTTATTGCTGTCATTATTGGCGTTTAGTCTTTCCCTTAAAACAAAAATAAAAACAAAAACTACTCCCTCTCCTGAGGTTGCATCTTTAAAAAAAAAAATCATAGCAAGCTAGACTGTGATGAGACTCTTTGAGAAAACTGATACCTTGAAACTAAAAAAACAGACTCAGGGCTAAAAATATTTGTTATTTTTTCTGGCTCCTGTGGTGTATATATGGGATTTTAGCAACTTGTCCAAATACTTTCATTATACCAGAATTTCATCATAATACTGTCAAACTAAATGGGCCATTGGTTGCTCTTAGAATTTAATTTTAGATTCTTTTATTGAAGGATATTATAGTGGAATTTAACCTTAAGTGGCAGCTTTAACAGGATTGACAAACAGATAAATAGCAGCCAAGTATAGGAATCTAGTGTCAGCCAAATAAAAAAAAATTGTTGTGTGCCCCAGCTGGCCTGAAGCGAGTTAATTCATTTCTATCTTCTGTTCCATAGTTTACTTGTGACCAACTTTTTGTATTGACTAGTCTCCTAGGAACACTTTTATTTGTTATATTTCTTCTATGTACTGCGCATTTTGAGCAAGAACATATATCTTTTAAATCTTCAAATCAAAGATAATCATCAACATATATTCAGGGGATTTTTAAACCAGAGTTTTTCAGGTTTTGCCATAGATCAGTGATGCTGCCAGCTTAAGGCTCTGAGTAATATTTGTTGAATGAATGGCTATGAATAGGCAATTATTTAAGACAAACACTGAATTAGACATTTAAACATTTCTCATTTTCTATCATTTTTGACCCATTCATTATTCATTAGTATATGTTGTGTTTTAAAAGCTTGGCAGAATTATTTAGGAAAAGAGTCCATTTTTACTGGTTTATTACTGTGGAGATATTTAAAGATGTCAGTTTTGAGAAAAATGTTGAATACGAGTACTAAGAGTGTCAGCGTTTTCATTTTTTCATTTTTTTTCCCCCACTCAAAATTATTTTGATGACCTGTCACATAGTTTGTCATCACTATAATCTGTATCTTCAGGAAAGTATTTTATGGTAATCAAATTTAGCATTTGAACTTTTGCATTGTTTTCAAATATTTTGTAAAAATTTTTCAGGTCATGATGATGAGTTCTAATGCTAAGAGTTCTAATGGAAAATTACTATAAACAAAATTGAACCTATTTTCTCTGGGGATACAGATACAAGAGGAGAAAAACATTTATTTAAATGCATTAAGCAGACTTTTTCCTTTAGGCTATGGTTGATTAAATTCAAAAGAGCTAGGTAAAGATTTGCTATATGTTCCCTTCTGCCTCCCTTCTCTATTATGATACTGGTATTGAGATTCAGGGACTGGTTTTAATTAGTGTAAGAGGTGCATATCACTATGTTGTGTGGGTTGGTTGTACCATTTCACTTTTCATATCTGAATACACATGTAGAGAAGTACTTCTGCTATGGTTATTATAACAGGCTATTAGAAGCTTGGCTGAGTAGACTCTTATTTCTAGGTGACCCCCCCCCCGCCACACACACACCAAAAACAACAACAAAAAATCTTCAGGCTTTTCATTGAGTGTTATTAGGACTTATTTCTTCAGCAGTGAAAAATGAAATTGTTGCTTTAGTATAATAGTTGCTTAGTTACTTGCTATATAGGTGAAGATATACTTGATATTTGTTGGCTTAGAAAATCCTAACAGGTGTCCTTTCTTCTTTGTTTTTTGCATAACTCCCATTTAGTGTTAATGAAAATTGTGGGCGTTTGAGGATATAATGTAAAATGAGGATTAAGTTCACCTAAATTTCTCTAGATAAAAGCATTAAGTTCCCTAGAACTAGAATTTCCCTAGATAAACTTTAGAGCAATGAGGGAGAAATGCTTGAAAAGTAGTACTGATGAAATTTTTAAACTATATTTAGTATTCTTAAATCATTTAACTTCAGGTTTAACTGAGATAGATTTTTAAAATAAAAATCTTCACAATTTTATGTAAAAAATGTATGCAAATTATTGTATTACAGGCTTTTACTATTCCAAAGAGTCTTTTTTTTTTTACTCTTTGTGGGAAGAAGACAAATTCATTCTCAAGTTTTAAGTGAATAATTTTCTGATAATTAAAGTTTATAGCGACTGAACAACTTTGATATGTAATGGTAACAACTCTGTGTCTTGGATCTTTGTGGCTTTAAAACTTAAAACTAGTTAAAAAGATTTTGGTAAACGTTTGTTTTGTAGGACAAATGTTACAACCATTGTGCTTCTCAGAAGGTAAGGATTTTTGAGAAGGCAATAAAAAAAGTATACTAAATAGATTACAAAGAAGTGAAGAAATGGGAGATATTCCCAGCATAACTGGAAATTAAAAACATGCATATTTTTAGTAATCATAGATCACAGTTTGAGGTAAAACTCTTAATGTGACTAATTTTGAAATGACAGACTCTGATTAGGCTGAAAGCAGATTGATTAAGATTTATTTTTTTCTCTCAGCAACTCACGAATATGTTTGTGATCTAGACCGTTAAATAATTAAAGTGAAGTCACTGTGTGCCATTTCCCTTTTCTCCTAGACTACTGTTTTCTTTAATAAAGTGAAACTTGTGAAGTTTTGGCTTATATAGACATTTATAAGGTGGTCTACAATATAATAGAATATAAAACCTCTTTTCCTTTAAAATTAATGCTTAATATTAATGATTTAAAATTATTCCAACTCTCAAGTACTGTCATTTTTTAAAGCTTACATCATTTTATTTTTTAAAGCTTACCTTTTTGGAAAAATAATTAGTTGACTTAAGAGACTTGACTAATTTAGGAAACACTTTAAAGAACAACATAAAATCAACATTAACCTTTGTAGTGGCACAGATTTCTAGTGCAGTTAAAGTCCACTGTCACTATGCTTTTTAGTTAATGTTTAGTCTATCCATTTGTTGTGTAGATTATGAATATAAACCATGTGTCCCTCTTAATACATGCTTCTGCTTTTATTCAAAAGCATCATAGTTTATTATTCTATGGGTATAGTGTAGACATTTTTAGTGTTGAATTAAGGTTTCATCATTTATTTTTTACTTATACTGAAAGACGACCCATATTTATAAAATGTTTATAAAAGTATACAGGCTATGGAATGATACTAAATTATATTTGAAATAAGTTAAAAGCCTAAGTATCATTTGTAGCAGAATTCCTTGGAGGCTTTGTTAAAGATATGAAATGGATAGAGAATAAACTTTTTTGAACTACTTCTAGACTTATCTAGAAATAACTATGTTATGTTAACATTTTTTTGGTAAGTTAAAGTGGTTAATAGATGGGTTGGCAAAATTGAGGCTGTATAGTTAGTAGGGTAGTTATAACTTTGTATTGGAAGTTCTATTTATTTTTTTAAAATTTTGTTTATTGATTTGAGAGAGAGAGAGAATACGAGCAGGGGAGGAACAGAGGGAGAAGCCGACTTTCTACTGAGCAGGGAGCCCAGTGCGGGACTCCATCCCAGGACCCTGGGATCATGACCTGAGCGGAAGGCAGATGCTTAACCGACTGAGCCACCCCGACACCACTAAAGACTTAAATTTTAAATTGAACTTCTGGGGCACCTGGATGGCCCAGTCGTTAAACATCTGCCTTCCGCTCAGGTCATGATCCCGGGGTCCTGGGATAGAGCCCCATGTTGGGCTTCCTGCTCAGCGGGGAGCCTGCTTTCCCCTTTCCCTCTGCTTCTCCCCCTGCTTGTGCTTGCTCTCTCTGTCAAATAAATAAATAAAATCTTTTAAAAAAAATTTAAGTCTTTATATTTTAAAATTTCTTCCTCAAGTAGAGGATCCTATATTGAAGAGTAATGGGAATCATTTGGTTGAAATGAGACCGAAGGTGGCTAATAATGCGTCGCTTGTTAGGCTCTGTGCCAAAAGCTTCCTTTTTATTCATCACTTATTTTTATAGTTTAGTAGTGGATTAGAATGCTGATGGACATAACATTTTTTGAGTTAATTATTAACTGGCTAGTTTTTTTTTGGCAGGCTGAATGACTGGAGGAATTAGGACAAAGTAACAAGTGAGCCAGCTTAGAAATTGGCATCTTAGGTATAGTGTGTCTTTAATGGTTCCCAGCTTATACAAATGTTCTTTGCATTGATACAGAAACCAAATCAGTATGTTTGCAACATATCATTGACTTTTTATGCAGTGGGAAAATAATTTTCAGGTACTTTAATGGAATACATGACACGCATTTTGCTCCTTAATGGAGTAACTTTGAAACCTGATATTTTAACGTCTAGAGATATATTGAAGTGGTGGTAGCTCAATATTCTGAGGTTTAGTTGGGTTTATGTAGTAGGTGTAGTAGTGTTTATGAATTTAAACTATAACACTTTTTACTTGGCTCTGAGTAGATATAGTGCCACTACTTTACTTTTTGTTTCTTTCATTTCTCTTGTAGAAGAGGAAGACGGAGTGTGGGAGAATGGACTTTCCTATGAATGTCGTACTCTGCTATTTAAAGCAGTTCACAATCTGTTGGAACGGTGTTTAATGAACCGGAACTTTGTACGCATTGGCAAATGGTTTGTAAAGCCTTATGAAAAAGATGAAAAACCTATAAATAAAAGGTAAGCTATCTCATATAAACTCTTAACATTTCTTTAGGTTTGTTAATTTTTATAGCTTTACAGAAAATGTGGACTGAAATAAGCTGTCTTACATATGCAGGAAGTTAAGTTCAGCAAAGTACTATAAGTATTCAGTTTTCTTTGACCCCTCCACCCTTTCTTTTATGCATTTTAAGAATTTTCTTGAAGTGGGAATAGGCTGGATGTCTAGTGACCTAAATTTTTATTTGGGACGATAGAAAAATGTGGGGTGAAAATGTGAGGTAAAACTCTTAATGTGACTAATTTTGAAATGACAGACTCTGATTAGGCTGAAAGCAGATTGATTAAGATTTATTTTTTCTCTCAGCAACTCACGAATATACTTGTGATCTAGACCGTTAAATAATTAAAGTGAAGCCACTGTGTGCCATTTCCCTTTTCTCCTAGACTACTGTTTTCTTTAATAAAGTGAAACTTGTGAAGTTTTGGCTTATATAGACATTTATAAGTAGTTGTGTTTTGGATTGAGTTAACCCTTCTCATTCCCAAACCTCTAATTTTGCTTTAATTAATTTAAATTTGTGTTTTTCTATATAAGACATGTTTTCTCTTAGAGTGTAATTTTCTTGAACTTTGAATTAAGCAAATTTATGACACTAATTTGTAGAGTAGTTGCAGATAGAGACACAGAAGACTTTAAGATAACTTCTTTTCCTGTGCAGTTAAAAGCTTTAGATTGCTACAGTATTTATTTATTTATTTTTAGATTTTTATTTACTTATTTGCGGGGGAGAGAATGCATGAGAAGGGGAGAGGAGCAGAAGGAGAAGGAGAGAGAGAATCCCAGGCAGACTCCCTGCCGAAAGCAGAGCCCAACTCGGGGCTGTGTCCCATGACCCTGAGATCATGATCCAAGCCGAAATCAAGAGTTGGATGCTCAACTGACTGAGCCACCCAGGCTCCCCAGTTCTTTTTGATTTAAATATGATATAAGATATGATCTCTTAGAAGATTTGGTCCTAAGCACTTGGTGAGGCTTTAAGAAAGATGAAACCGTAAGATGGGATGTGAGAGAAAAAGAAATTTTTTGGTTTTCCCTGAAAGATGTGAGGATATGAAGGAAACATTTGGTTATGTTGTTATCATTGTTGAGATGCCGTCTTTTATGTTTTTTTTTTTCATATTTTTAAAAAAAGATTTTATTTATTTGAGATAGCACACGAGTGTGTATGGGTGGGGAGGGGCAGAAGGAGAGGGAGAAGCAGACTCCTGGCTGAGCAGGGAGCCTGATGCGGGGTTCAGTCCCAGGACTCTGGGATCATGACCTGAGCCAAAGGCAGACGTTGAGCCACCCAGGCGCCCCCATCCTTTATGTCTTATGTACACATTGTTTTCAATGTGTAACTCTGGAGTCTTTCCAAACTTCTCTTTTTAGTTTTAGTAGAATGGTTGAGTAGATAAGCCTGGACAAATCAAGGCTCTTTCATTTTCTTCCTCTTTGAAAATGAACATAAACCTTTACTGTCAGCAAACAAATTGTACAAGTTAGGAATGAATTCAGTTGCAAAAGACAGAACACCTAACTACTTGGCTTATGTAGGAATTGATTTTTCTTGGTAGCAAGGAGTTTCATCCAATTCAAAGTGAACTGATCTGGATCAGTAATATAAAGAGCCTGTCTACAGGATAGAGTGTGGGTCTAGGAGTCTGACTTACTCATTTGAACTTTCATTCTTTTTGTTTTTTGTTATACCATGCATCCACCTTAAGAGATCTACCAGTGTCTTCACTTCTCTGCCTTTCTGGGATTTCTGTGGGTTTGATTCAGTTTGCATCTTGGTTTCTTCCCCTTAGCCTTTATCTACTAAGCTAGTTACTATTTTTGCCTTTGCTTGTTAGCTCCCCAAATTTTGTGGCCAGTATTTTGCATTCACTTGTACCATTCTCTTTGTGCTCTTTTGCTGTCTATATGGAAGGTGTTTAACAAAGACATAGAGGTAAATGAATGTGTTCAATGAGCCATGTAAGATACTGGAAGTATCTTTATTTCTCTTCATGAAAGAAGCTCTCTTAGTGGGCTGTTATTAATAGAAGATGCAACTTTTCATACTGGAGATTTTCATGAATCCAATAGATTCTGCTTGTTATTTACATAACGTAATTGAGCAGTAGTGTTTTTCTGTGGGCTGACCCATTTAGAAGGGGAACTAAATTCAAATTGTGTTTTATTAGTGGAGTGGTACTAGAAATAGTATATGCTCTTTTGAGTTACTCTTGAAGGATAGTTGTGGTACAAAACTGATTTTATCCAGGACAGATAAATGCTCTCCCTCAAACCTTTTTTCATAGGAACTTCCTGCTGCCTCCCCTCCCTTTAGAAAAACAAGTAGAAAAATCAAGCAGATAAGTCTCTCAACTGCTTTTAATTACGGTTTGGGACTACTTACTTTTCCATTGAATTCAGTGGAATGATGTTAGGAAGGTAGATAACAATTGGATTATAAATTGCATTTCTAACCTATTATGAAGCTAAACCATTAAGCATCATATATACTATTTTTGTTTACTGATCAAGTCACTTTTTGTTGAACTTGCATAGGCTTTTTTTTTTTTTTTTAAGACAGAGAAGGCAGGGGGATTGGGTGGGGGGTGAGAGAGAATCTTAAGCAGGCTCCACCTCACAACCCTGAGATCATGACCTGAGTCGAAATCAAGATCGGTTGCTTAATTGATTGAGCCACTCAGATGCCCCAAGAACTTGTATAAACATTCTTAAAAAGAATTATAATTGTCTGGGGCGCATGGGTGGCTCAGTCAGTTAAGTGACCCAACTCTTGATTTTGACTCATGTCATGATCTCACAGTCATCAGATTGGCCACTTAAGGCTCCACATAAGACCTCTGTGCTCAGTGGGGAGTCTGAGATTCTCTCTCTCTCCCTCTCTCTCCCCCTCTGCCCCTCCCCCCCACTTGTGGGCGCTCTTGTACATGCTCTCTAAATAAATAAATAAAATCTTAAAAAAGAACCCAATTGTCAAGGAAATTGGTATTGTGAAGCTGGTTTCATTTGAACAAAGGAGAAAATAATATTCCTGACCTTTTCTTTATTCATCCTCCCTTTATCCCCATTAAATATAGATTCTCATCTTCTAATAATCTGAATTTCAATGTAGCTAATTGTCTGATTAACTATAACAACCTTCAGGGACTGAAAGCGAGGAAATGGAATTAAATCTAGTGGTATAGCTAGGTTAGCTGTAAAGAACCCCTCAACTGTATAGGTAATTAACCACAGAAATTTGAGATGTTATTAGGGTGATTAACACAAAAATTTAAAAGAATTACTTTTAAATCTACCATCTTCAGGTATTGTTAAAAGAATGACCAGTGTTTTGTCTTAACAGTTTAGATGTTTTCCTACAGTGTAGGAAACTAGATCAGATGCAGTCGCTGTGTTTGCTACTGAAACCACAGGTAAATGGCTATAATAAATACCAATGACTTACTGTAGGTTTTAAGTAGTCTCTTAGTAAAAAGACATTACAAACTTGTGATGTTTGAGTGTACCTTAGGATAAGATTATTTTGAAGAAGAACCTGTTTGTGTTTAGTTGGTTTTCTGTCATTTTAATCTATTACAGCAGCTTAGCTGAGTGGCCAGTTAAGTTTGTATAGTTAGTAAGAGTTTTAAATGCTTATAGGAAGACATACAGAGTAGAAAGATATTAATAAGGATTTTTTCTTTTAAGACTGCTAGTCTAATATCTTACACTATGTATTTACATAGGAGGTGTGCTAATTAAGTAGCAGTTGAGATTGTATAGGAGAGAATTAATAGGGAACATTTAATATATACTTTAATTTTACTCTGTTCCCTCAACTACAGATATAGCCATATAATTAATTTCTATGGAAAAAAATATATTGTTCAGTTGGTAAATCTGCTTTGAGATTTTTACTCTATTTAATTTCAATTTTAAAAGGCAATATAGAGGGCACCTGGGTGGCTCAGTTGGTTAAGCGACTGCCTTCGGCTCAGGTCATGATCCTGGAGTCCCTGGATCGAGTCCCACATTGGGCTTCCTGCTCAGCAGGGAGTCTGCTTCTCCCTCTGACCCTCTTCCCTCTCATGCTTTCTATCTCTCATTCTCTCTCTCTCAGATAAATAAATAAAATCTTTAAAAAAAAAATAAAATAAAATCTTTAAAAAAGAAATAAAAAAAATAAAAGGCAATATAGGATATCTATATATCATGTATATATGTGTGTGTATAATCACATGTGTGTATATAAATAGGATAGAATAAATCTTTGCTGAATATAACATAAAGGAGATTGGATCAGATATCTGGTTCTGTATTTTTTTTTTTAAGATTTTATTTTTTTGAGAAAGGGAGAGCGCGTGCACGTGTGTGTGTGTGTGGAGGAGGAGGAGGGGGAGAGAATCTTAAGCAGATTCTGCACTGAACGTGGAGGCCCACGTGGGGCTTGATCCCATGACCCTGAGATCGTGACCTGAGCCAAAGTCAGGAGTCAGATGCTTACCTGACTAAGCCACCCAGGCACCCCAGGTTCTGTATGTTCTACGCCCTTATTTTGGGTTCTGGAATTAAGGGTTAAGAATTAGCAAAGAGCCTGGCCCACAGAAAGAGATTTTGTCTTGTGGGATGAAGCAGGCAAAGTTCACAGGAAGGAGAGGAGTATATCCCTAAGTATTTTATAGAGTTAATTGTAACTAGAATATTAGGGCAAAATAAGGAATTTTAATCCCTGTTTTTTTTATTTTTTTAAAGATTTTATTTATTTATTTGGCAGAGAAAAAGACAGCGAGAGAGGGAACACAAGCAAGGGGGAGTGGGAGAGGGAGAAACCGGCTTCTCACCGAGCAGGGAGCCTGATGCAGGGCTTGATCCCAGGACGCTGGGATCATGACCTGAGCCGAAGGCAGATGCTTAAAGACTGAGCCACCCAGGCGTCCCTGTTTTTTTTATTTTAAAGACGTTTTAGAACGGTGCTGTT